CGCGCGCGCCGCGCAGGCGCGCGTCGCGGCGCGCGACCGTCGCGGCGATGAGCGCGGACGCGGCGAGGTGGACGGCGGCGACGTGCACGCTGCGGCTGGCGGCGAGGAGGGCGCGGAAGCCGGCCCATGTGGCGGCGTTGGCGGCGCCCGCGACGGCGGCGAGGATGGATAGGGCGGCCAGCAGGAGGGCGGGCAGGGCGCGGCCCTCAGTGATGCGGAGCACCGCGCCGCCGGGGCCGCGCTGCGAGGGGCGGGCAAGCGCAAGGACAACGGCGTCGCAGGAGCTGGGTCAGCAAGAAAAGATGGAGGGAAGATGACGATGTAAATGCAAGGCTTGAGTTGTCAACCTTCAGGGCTGAGAAAATCATTGGAAATCGGCCCTGGTGGTGGCTGCTACGGCTGGCTGTGGCCCCCAAATATCCTGTGATGGGTCTCTCTCGCCCGCACGAGGCACGGCACGCAGCTGGCCCCCGCCCCCAGCGCGCGCCGTCGCTCACACTCAGCTCGGCCGCGCCGGGCGGCAGGCGCGGCACGCGGCGGGGCGGCTTGAAGACCGCCAGGTAGGACAGCAGAGCGTAGCTGCCCAACAGCGGTGACGCCGCGAGAAACGGCCACAGGGGCACCTGAGCCACAGGGCGGGGTCGCCAGGGTGGGGCGCACAATCATGGCGAGAAGGGCGGCTCTGAGCTGCCTGCATCAGTGGCTGGCGCTGTGCTGCGCGGGCACCCAATAATGCTCACCGACTCGCTGCCCCCAGCAGCCTGCGCCAGCGAAGCGCATGCCGGGTCGACAAGCGCCTTGCGCTCAACTATCTGGCTCTACCCTTCCCTCTGAAACGCGCGCCCGCCATCACCTTGTTTGCGCTGCGCATCGCAGGCATCATGAGGGGGGCCATGACCAGCGGCTGCAGCGCACTGGCCGCCATGAGGGAGAACACCACCGCGTTCTGGTAGCCCAGCGTCAGCGCCAGCCGCGCCTCGTCGCGCCACGACGGCAGCGCGGCGGGCGCGAGCACGGTCGAGTAGGCTGTTGGGAGAGATCGCGGCGCACATCATGTAGCAGTGGTCCAGGGTTGGTTGATGAAGAATTGGCACCCAGCAAGGCAGCGTGTCCCCTGAAACCGGCAAAGGTGCACGGCCCAAGGGCAGGCAGCAGGGCGTGCGGAACCTCCGTCGACGGCGTTCGCAAACCCTGTCAAGGCGCAACGCGAGACCAGAGCGACGCGCAGTGCGGGGGCCAGCAGGCGCAAACACTGGTTGGGCGTGCAGGCGCGGGCTGGCTCACCCAGGAGGGCCATCAGGGCCACCAGGGCCGCGGAGCGCGACGCCAGGACGCCCTGGCGCCACAGGGACTGCGGGGCAGCAACGGTGTGCGCGCGCGGGCGGCCCCGGCGGGTCGGCGGGCGTTTGCGGTTTCCTGTACCAAAGCAAAGCGAGAGCATCTGATGCTACATGATGCACAAAGTCGAAAGCGACAGGGCTCGGTTTGCCACCCCCACTCCCAACAAACCCTTCCCGCACTCGCCGCGACAAGCGGCAGGTGGTGCTGTGTTGCCTGCCCGCCCCCGCCCCCTCACCAGATCCAGCAGGGCAGGCAGGTCCTCGCTCCACGTGGGGTACCCCTCTATCTCAGCCAGGCTCCTGCGCTTGCCCACGGGGGCGCGCGCGCGGCGCAAGGGCGAGCCCCCGGCGGTCATCACGGCACCCGCACCCGCGGCGCGCTCGTCGTCACTGGAAAGCTCCCAGTCCTCCTCGGCCCCCGCGGGATGGCGCGCGCCGTGGCGGCGCCGCGAGCCAGAAGGTGATTCGGTTGAACGCAGGGGCTCCTCGGCCATCAGCTGGCTAGAGGCGCGCGACGGTGCCGGGCTGGTGTGTTCGGGTAGGGGGGCGCGACACGCGGAGCCGCGGTGCTGCGCGTGCAGGTTTTCAAGAAAGTGGCGCCCTTGGTGCCAACGGATGGTCAATTATAAGCACTGATTTCAATCAAAGGGCCAGGGCGGCTGCCCGCCGTGATTCAGTGATGGCCAAAGAGTGCCGACACGGACGGCACGCACTTCTGAGTCTGTGACAGGTCGCAACACTTGCGCGCAAGCTTATCGTCTACAACGGATTGTCTGCGGAACGAATGGATGGTTGTGGTCCAGCCTCTGGTTGATTGCGATGATCGCTGTGTGACGTGGCAGTCCAAGGGATTTGAGCCCACAGGGGATTTGAGCTCGGATTGCATATGTAGTTCACGCAAGAGTCACTGAGACCGCTGCTAGCTGCGGCGAGGCCATGCCCCTGTGGCCTGGCTGGGCACAAGCGCGCTGCTGTGACTCCCACTTGCCTTGCAAGCGCTCCCCCACCCCCTCATGCACAATCAGCATGCTGCCGGCATTACATGTTCCCGTTGCTGCTGCCGTTGCCGCTACGCTCGCTGTCGATTTGGAGGTGCTTTGAAAATGTGTGGCAAACCCAAGTGGTAAAACTGCAGACCGCCCCGCGTCCCGTCACCCCCCCTTGGCCCCTAGCAGCTGCCGCCGCGCCGCGGTGACGCCCGCGCCCGCGTCCGCGCCCGCTGCCTCCCCCGCCGCGCGCCGTAGGTGCCGCAGCGCCGCCACGTTGAACCCCAGCGTGTCCTTCAGCCCCTGCGCCGCGCGCCGCAGCCGCCCCTGCAGCGCGACCAGCGTGCCGCGCGCCGCGGGCGTCGCGACGAGCTGCGCGTGGTGCAGGCGCAGCAGCAGCGACGCCGCGCGGCAGCAGAGCTCCACCTGCGCGCCCTGCTGCAGCCAGTCCGACAGGTAGCCCATCAGCCGCAGCGCGTCCGCGAACGGCAGCAGCAGCAGCGCCTGCTCCAGGTCCCCAGACCGCACGCCCGCGACACAGCGCAGGACATAGTCCCCCGGCCGCAGCCCCAGCATGAGAGGGTTCGCCGCTGGCCGCTTGACTGCCGCTTTCGCCGCCGCGACGCGCCGCCGGCGCTCCGCGGGCCCGGCGCCGTCAGCCTCTGCCGCGGCGGCCGCGGCGGCGGCGGCCTCGGCCACTGCCGCCGCGTGCTCCGCCTCCTTGCGCTCCTCGTTGGCCGCCACGTCCAGCGAATCCACGATGCCGTCCGCCGCCCCGACGCTCTCCAGTGTCCGCCGCCCCGCCGGCAGAGCCGCGCCGCCCGCGTCCCCGCCGGCCGCGCCCGCCGCGGCTTCGCGCTCGGCCGCGGCCTGCTGCTGCTCCAGGTCGCTCTCGAACAGCGACTCGAGGCGCTTCTCCTTCTCCTCCTCCACGAAGAACGGCTCGGTGGTGCGCTCCCAGCGGCGGAGGCTGCGGTCGTGGGAGCCTGACACCAGGAAGTCGCCGTAGGCGCTCAGCGCCAGCGCCCACACCTCCCCGTGGTGGCCCGGCAGCTCCAGCAGCATCTCAAACCTGCAAGTTGGCGCGGCACAACAGAAGTTGGTTTGCGGGGACGGAGCGAGATTGTTGCGAGTGCGAGTGGGGGTTGACCCTGTGCAGGTGCAGCTTTGGGTTGTTGGGTAAGGCGCCAGTGACCCAGCTGCACAGTCGCCGGGCTGGCACCCGCCGCACTGGATAGCATCACGCAGGCGGCCCGTGTGCGGGCAAAGCCCAGAGCTGAGGCACGTCCCAACCAAATCCAGCAACGCACTGCAATGCACTGCGCTGTACTGCGCTGGTCGGCCCACGCACAACCGCACGCCACCCTGCGCCACGCCGTTCTCCCCCGCATCACCCCGCCCACCCCGCTCCACCCCGCGCCACTCTGCACCGCCACCCCCCACCTGTCCAGGTCCCAGTACTTGACGGCCCGGTCCTTGCCGGCGCTGAAGGCGTAGTGGGTGTCGCGCACAAAGGCCACAGCAGTGACGGCGTCCTGGTGGGCAAACAGGCTGCGGTGGCAGTCACCAAAGTCGAGGCCCCATACCTGGGATGGCGGGGAGGCGGTCAGGCCAGGGCGGGAAGCTCAGCAACCAAGATATTGGTTTCAAATCGGTGCATTGTACTGCGGTTTCCACCCAACGCAGGCCAGACGTTTGTGCCCAGAGCGCTCAGACTTCTGCCGCTGCCTGCACTGTTACCAAACTTTGTTGCCAAACATACGCACAGTTGAGAACTGGCGCATGCGAGCCGGAGCAGTCGAGGCACACACTCGTGCGTGTGCGCACCTTGATGTTTTTGTCCGCGCTGCCGCTGACCAGCAGGGTGCTGTCGCTGGAGATGTCCATCGACAGAACCGGCAGCTTGTGGCCGTAAAGGGACAGGAAGAACTTGAGGCTGGGGGTGATGGTGTGAGTATGTGTGTGTGTGGAGTGGGGCGAAGAGGGAAGTCAGGGCGCTTACAGCAGGGTTGGGTCGCAGTAGAGATGGCGCCACTGGGTTGAAATCGTGGGTCCCTCCTGGCTGGTCAGGTCCCAGCCACTGCTCTGGACTGGCCTGCGACAGCACCCCTCACAGCTGTCAGTTTCGACCCGCCAATCACCTCCTAGCAGTCGAACCCCACAAGCAAGCAAGCCCCCAATCACCCCTCATCCAGATGCAGCCCCTGACAGAGCAGGCCACCACGCCCCCACCTGTCGAGGTAGTAGACCTTGATGGTCGAGTCCAGCAGCGCCACCGCCAGCAGCCGCCCGTCCGGCGACGCGCGCACACTCAGCACGTCCTCCGCCATGTCCAGCTGCCGCGTCAGCGCCAGCGCCAGCCGCCGGCCCCCGCCGCCCTCTTTGCCGCCCCGCTCCTGCTCCTCCCCCTGCCCGTCCGCGTCTGCGCCGCTTTTCTTCCCCTTCTTCCCCTTCTTCGCGTCGGCGCCGCCCGCGCCGCCCTCCGCGACCGCCCACGTCCAAAATTTGACGGTCTTGTCGGCGCTGCCGGACACGAAGCCGCTGCGGTCCGGCAGGGCGGCCAGGCTCCAGACCGGGCCGGTGTGTGCGGCCTCGACGTGGATGCGCTGGCAGGCACCGACGTCATACACCTCCAAAGTGCCCTCCTGAAGTTGTGAGTGTGTGTGTGTATGTGTGTGTGTATGTGTTTGTGTATGTGGGTGTGTGTGTGTGCGCGCGCAGGGGCTGGGGGAGGGGGGGTGTACGGCGCGGGGGCTGGGGGAGGGGATTGGCAGCGGAGTGAAGGTGGGGCAAACATATGTGGCTGCAAGCACTTGAGGGATGCAATTCATCAGGCAGCGACGGGCAGGCGGAGCTGGCCGCATGAGGACCAGGCGTGTAGTCGGGCGCTCTGCCAGCAATGCCAGCACAACTTCCCGCACAAGACTAGCGGCTCCTTGGCCAACCAATGCATCAGCCCCTCCGCCGCCCCCTTCCACGGCCCCTCCCAGAAACTAAACCCCCTTCTCCAGGGCGGCCCGCCCGCGTGCCGGTCTCCGCGCCCGCCAGCCCCCGTGCCCGCCGGTGCGCCCGCCCTCCGGGCGACCAGGGCCACCCTGCAGCACCCTCCCCCCCACCTTGGTGCCGACCACCGCGTGCCTGTTGCCGGGCGCAAACATGCAGCACAGCCCGTAGCCGCCTTCCAGCGTCCCCACGCACGCCCCGCTCGTCGGGTTCCAGACCTTGGACCCGGCGCTCGAGGTAGAGATCAGCGAGGCGTCGTCCGAGGACAGCGCGAGGGCGCGGACGTCGCCGCGGTGGCCGCCCTGATCCAGGCGCTGGCGCACCTCGAACGAGTCGGGCTTGACGTCGACGATCTGCGCGTAAGGGGCGTGGTGTTCAAGCAGGCGACGAAGCCGTCAGGAGCTATAGGTCAATTTGGGCAAAGATTGCAATGCGCTGTTGGCATCATAGTCAAGGAGTGTTGAGGAGGTGGCCACCCTGTACAACGCAAGGGACAAAATATTCAGGGGATTGTAATGGGCACAGAGGGAGGCCAGAATCGCCTGAACGCCCGTGCTGCACATGCACGCAGCCGCATGCCCAGACCTTGGTGCCACGCTCCCTCACCAAGCGCAAACCGTGCCCCTGTGCTGCCCGTGACCAGCGGCCTGCCTGATCGACGCGATTTGCTGCCTGCCCGGAGTGCAGTGCCGCGCTCCTGCAAATGACACCCAGTAAGCCGTGACACGCTCCTCTGACTGCCGCCGTCCCCTCAAGACCGCTTTTTCTCGCCCCACCCAATGCGCCCCCCCCCATCTCAGCAGGCCCCAGCCAAAGGCGCACCTCCACGCTGTTGTCAGCCAGCCCCAGCGCCACCTGAGCCACGCAGCCCTTGTGCCGCATATCTCCCGGCGCGAACGCAAAGCTCTTGATCTTGTGTTTGCTCAGGACCATCAGCATCGGCGCCAGCTCGTCCGCCGCCTGCAGCAATTCCACGCCGCCGCCCTCCTCGTCGCCGCCATCGCCCTCCTCCCCGCCCTCGTGCTGCTGCCGCCCGCGCGCCGCCGCGCCGGCGTCGGCGGCGCCGTCCGCGCCGTCGGCGCCGCCGCCGGCCCTGGCGGCCTTGGAGGCTTGCTTCTCGACGCGGCGCTTTTTGCGCCGCTTCATGCGCTTGCGCGCCTCGTCCTGGGCCCTCACGCTGAACAGCTCCAGGCTCTTGCCGGCCACCAGGCAGCCCAACAGCGACCCGCTGGCGTCGTACCGCACGCGCGCCGCGCGCTCCTGCGCCTGCCGCCGCACGCTGCCCATCGGCCGCAGGAAGTCGTGCGCTGTGCTGCGTCCCCTGTCGCCGTCTCCGGCCGCCGTGGGACCACCCTCCCGGCCGTCCTGCTGCTGCTGCTGCTGCTGGAGCGCATACACACGGAGCTCCAGGTCGGCCGCGGCCGTCACGAGCCGCGTCTCTGACGGGTCCACGTCCATGGACCAGACCTCGCCCTTTGCGCCCCCCACCACCTGGCAGCAGTGCTGGGTCGTCAGGTCCCACACCCGCACGGCGCCGTCCTTGCCGCTGCTCACGAGCTTGCCGGCGGACTCGATGACCACCTGGGCCCGGGGATGAGCGCGTTTGTGAGAAGGTTCGCATGCAGGTGCGCCGCGAGAGCAGTGTGGTTTGCCCTCTGCTCGGGTATGCACCGAAGCAATAAGGGCAGATGCAGACCAGCAGACCCTGAGCCGCACCGCTCATCCTGTCCGCGCGGCTCACACAGAGCGCGATATAGAAACGTGCGTGTTGCATCGCCCGCCCCGCCTCAGCGTGCCTTCCCAGCGGCCTCACCACGTCGGTGACGGCGCCCTTGTGTCCGCGCAGCCGCACCACCCCCGCCTCCCCGACCACGTCCCACACGATCACGTCCGTGTCGTTGGCGCCCGACGCGAGCAGCGCACCGCTGCGCCCGAACCGCAGCGCGGTCACCGCCGACTTGTGGCCCTGCAGCGTGACCGCGCAGTCGCCGGTGGCCAGGTCCCACAGGCGGATTGACCCATCAGAGTAGCCGGCCGCCAGCAGGTTCCCGCCGGGCGCGCGCGCGAGCTGAGTCACCTCCGGCGCGGCGCGCGGCGCGGCGCTGCTGCTCGCGGTGGCAGTCGTCAGGGACTTGGCCTGGGTGATGCGGGTGAGGGGAGGGGGGTCGGTGGGGTTTGGGGAGCGGCCGAGACGCGGGCGGGCGGACGGCGGGACCGAGCAAGCTGGTTTGCGGCTGGCAAGAGCAGTCGTCAGGGCAACAGGCCAGGATACTCGCTGCACAGACGCACACAGCACACCGCCAGCGCGCGGCCCAACCCCTCCACATCACGCCACATGCTGTCAGCAGCACATGTCGCGTGTGTGTGCGGGAGCTAGCCCCCACACAGGGCGCTACCCACCTGCACGCCTTGCTTCACATTCCAAACTGCCACGCTCTCCAGTGCCGCTGTGATCAGGAAGCGGCCGCAGTTGTCATATGCCACGTTGGCGCTGCTGGATATGACGCCAAACGCACCAGTGGGCTCATAGCGGAGGTACGCCTTGACCATGGCTATCGCTGCTGCTGAAGCTGCCGCCGCTGGTGTAGCTCCTGCGGCCGGCGCCGCCGCCGGCGCTCCACACTGCCAGCACCTGCTGTGGGGCAGTTCAACCAAGCCTGTGGCCTGCGACGCATTATCAGCAATAGGAATTCAGCAAAGCACACAGTGCTGTCTATGGTGCTGTGCTGTGCGAGCGAAGAGCGGCTGCTGCAGTATCACAGCGCAGCAGAGCACACAGCAGGAGCGCAGGCGGCGGCCGCCGGCGTCAACTCCCAGCTCAGCGGACCACCAAGCGGGCTATGTTGATATATTCCAAGCATAGTAATATCGTCAGAGCGCCGAGCACCCGGGGGCACCTTTGCCTGGAACGCAGGTTCACGATCCGACAGCTGCTTCTCACGCAGAGAGTTGAAGTGTCAAGTTGTGATAAACAATTGAAAAATATAGAAATCGGTCGTAGTTGCCGCGGAAACCGGTAGATCACCATCGCCGCACCGGCACTGGGTGACTCGCGGTGGAAGCCCTGCGTGTAGGTACACCCGACATATGGCCATCGATCTCGGATCATATCTCAAACAGAGCGGCTTGGCATTCCAGCATTGTTGCAGGGTCAGCTAGTCAACTCTGCCATGGCAGCGACGCTGAGCGAACAGTACCGTACTGCACGTACCTTGCGCAGCAACTCAACTCCACAGCCCTCTACCCCACAACATCCTGCTGCACGACCTGATTACAATAGAAGTTCACCCTGTGATGGAGGCGTGTCTGTGTGTTACAGGCTCATCGTTCAGACTCGTTGGCCCCTGCGGAGGGGCAAATGCGTGTGCCTTGGGCACTTCTGCCAGCACGTGAGCCATGTGCAGCCAGAGGTGTGTAAAAACTTCACTGTGACAAAAACGTGTGCGTTTCTCTTCCCAGGAAGACCTCCAGACCAAGCAGCAAGCCGCTTGGGTGGCGCATTGTCAAAGCAGCCGCCTCAAATCCAACAGGGTCTACACGAGGGGCGACCCCAACAGTTGTAGACCTCTTAGGAGCCAAAACCAAAATTCGCACCACAGCACGTGCCCGCCGCTGATACACTGCCAAGTAACGTTTGCGCCAGGCCGAGGCAGGCCCAGCGTGAATGATGCTCAAGCGCACACAGTTCACAAAGCTTGGCGACCGCCTGCCTCACTTGTGGGGGCCACTGGCTGGCACACCAACAATGTGGCACTCTGCCCATCCAGCAGGGCCCCCTACTGCCGCGTGCTACGGACAATGCCCCACGACAACAGATCCTCCCTTACCCCTTGGTCGCTTCGGTGGTTGCAGCCAACCTGGCCAGCTCGCCGTGGTGAAGCAGCGCACGCGGAGCCGCAAAGGCGACCCGCCCCACCCGCATAGCGGCGCTGGTTGGCCCCGCCGCCGCCCAGCTGCTCAGAGGCGCGTTGCCCTCCCACCGCTCCTCGCCGCTGGCGGCTCCTCCCCCATCTCAAGCCTTCTTGTCCAGGAAGACCGTGAGGGTGCGCCCCTCCAGGTCAGAGCCGTGGAAGCTGTCGATGGCGCTCTGCGCCGCCTCCTTGCTCAAAAAGCGCACGGTGCCCCAGCCCTGGGCGTGTGGTGGCCGGGCGGGGTTGATGGGCGGGCCCCGTCGGCGGGCAGGTGGGCCGGCTGGCCAGCGCGGGGCAGGTGCTGGACAATGCAGGCGGCTCGCGAGGTGCCACGATAAGCTCCCTTTTCTAAGCTTGAAGGCGCAGGCGGCGCGTCGCGGCACAGACGGGGCCCTCCTCCCCCGCGCGCATGCTGCGCGCACCTTGCTGCGGCCGTCTGGGGCTTGCATGACGTCAGCGCGCTCCACGTCCCCTATCTCGGTAAAGAGGTCCTTGAGGTCCTGCCAGGTGAACTTCCATGGGATGCCCTGGACCACAATCTGGTGTGCATGCGTGTTGTATGTGTGCATGCAGGGCTGCTTAGTGGGGTTTGTTTTGTGAGGTGCGTCGAGGAGCGGGGCACGTCCTTGCTGCCCACCACACATGTCCACGGCCCCTGCGCGCCGCGCCGCGCCAAACTAGCTGATAGGGGTGTACACGCCGGTCAAGCGCCAGCTGCCACAGATGTAGATCTAGGTGACAGCGTCCCGCGCAGCCCAGGCGCCTGGCCGCCCACCTGGAAGCCGCTCGGCTCGCCCTCGATCGGCGGCCGGGGTCCACGGCCACGCCCACGCCCGCGGCCGCCCTCGCCGTAGCCCTCGCCGCGGCCGCCCTCGCCGTAGCC